ACTCCGAACATTATAGGAGTCATAACACAAGATAACCTTTCACCCTCTATTTTTGTCTCAGATTAAAGACTTCCACAAACAGGTTAAGACCTTTTCTTGCATAAAATGCGACCCTATTGCGGATATAGCATAAGAATACCAACGGTCCCATAACCTTCTTACGAGACTAAACCAAGATTAGCCCATAGCATACTTTTGAGTCCAGCTTCTTGCAGTAGTCTCATACTTGGACCGGTCGGTTTTGTACATATGTGCAATCTCAGGCACCAATGGGTCGTCAGGGTTCGGGTCCGTCAGTAAAGAACATATAGAAAGCAACACCTGGGAAAATAGGATTTGGAAGAAGTTACCGTGTATAATTCGACATCAATAAATTGACATGAAAGGATCCATTTTTTATACAGACTATACATCAAAGTGTGACGCCAGTTGAATAAGGAGTTCAGTTAGACTTCAGAACTCATAATTCAGGTATCAGGGACTGTTTGGGCACATTCTCAGTAACATAACAAAACTTGACTGCATGATATTGTACCCTATTTATTCAGAAATCTATCAATATAAATGTATCATTATATTATGGAGCATTATATTCCTGGACGAACTCAAGATAGACAACTCCAAAGAATTCTGTTATTACCAACAATATACACAAAATTATAGGTAATTTTGTTTTAATTAAAATAGTGGAGAAATTCTGACAAATCACTCTATCAACAAAAAGAGTTTGAAAAGACGCGCCACCAATTTACGGTATACATTGAATTATAATGTCTTGAAAACATCATATTAAATTTGACTTGTTGAAAACTTGAAGATTTTTGTTACTATGGCTAAAAGAGGAATGAACCTTGGAAATAGTCAGTGCAGGGCTCCACTGTTCCTTCAATATGTCAAGGCATATACTTCCATTGCTGTTAATATTTGGGTGGAAAACTTTTGTCCTGAAAGCAACCTGAAGAACTCATGATTATTTATACAGATTCTGATTCTGATTACAGTTTAAAATAGAAAAATCCTGAGAATTATAATTATGAGAATTAGTTACAAGCCAATTACAACTTACATACTTCAGCAAACTAACGTCGTTGCTGAAATTTTTAGTTATCGTCCAACAATATAACGACCCATCAGGCACTACACTACATTCATAACATTGACTTTAGCATTTACAGTAAGAGCATCCCTGCCCCCTTTCTCCTCGGTGACTAATTCATGATATTGAACAAGCATCACACGGAATCCATAATTTTTATTTAGTAGTTTGCCTAAATCTCAAGAACATCTTTTGAATTACCTACACCGTAAAGTTACAAGCCACTGGTCGTGGCAAATGGCATACCTTAGGAGGCTTGAAAGGATAGTCAGGAGGAAAATGAATGGCAACAAGGAAAACACCGCCGGCATATGGACTATCTGGGGGACCCATGATTGTTGCTTGCCAGTGGAACATGTCCTCAGCTACAGGACCTGCATCACAAAATGATTGTCACAGATTCTTTTAATCTTTTTCATAACTAACTGTAAAGTAATGCACTCTCATCAAGAAAACAAGCAAACAACCAAGAATAGAAGCGGTCAGAGATTACAACTTATTAACAAACCACAATCCTTAACTGTAATGATATAGCTAATCTGAGCTCAATGTCTTATGTGGCACGCTAGCACGACACAAGTACAAGTCAAGACTATATCATTAATATCCGAATGCGAGCCCAGAACTGTTTGTCGAAACAAGAATGGCAACAGAGGATCCAACCTACGCATGAGACAGGAATTGCAAAAGATTCTTACTGTAAATTGCAAAAGCCCAGACAAGAATTCGATCAGCTTCCTTTCTGACATATTAGTTTTTTTTTTAATTAAAAAGTAACGAACTCAGATTAGACAGCCTTTTTCCATAAGATCTAAACCCAATACGCAATCAGTTCAACAATTAACTAAACAAATCGGAATCAATTTTTTGTTTCCGGAGTTTCTAATATCAATTTTATGATGAAAAAACAGTAATATACCCGCGCTGCAAGATGTAGGAGGATCCCTCTGAAGATCCTTCAGCTCCTTCAAGATCCGCTTCGAAGCCATGGATGGCCAATCTCTATACTTCAACAAGTTTTTCAAGGAAAAAAAAAAACAGATCCATCTTATTTACGATAAAATCACACAAATTAAAAGAAAAAGCGACGAGATGGCGGTGTTCATCATACCTCGGAAGAAAAACGGATCCCCCGCCGGCGAAGTTACGACGAGGTGAAACTTCTTTCTTCTGTCTGGCCACAAAGAAAATGGGAGTTGCAGAGAAATTGTGTGTATTTTGCCGAGGAAATTAATATTTAGAGAGGTCACTGATTGATGCATTATTTCGTAATTCTTTCTCTGGATATTCATTATGTCGACATCCGCCTTTTTGGATTGGCCGACTCCTAACTCAGCGTGTGGGGAGCACGCAGTGTCATCTATATATATATATAATTACTAGCTAATAGCATTTAATAAAACCTAATTAATTTTACCTATGTGGCAATTTAATATTTTTCCTTTCAAAAACCGTTACTTTTTTATGTATTTAATCTTTCATTTAATTATTAAATAATCAATACTAATCACATCAAAATTACAAAAATCATTTTAAGCTTTTTATTAGTGACAGCTGACCATATAATGTGTTGATCGTACAATGTGATTAGATGTTATTATTGTGGTTACATTTAAATTATTATTTTTTTAAAATTAAAAACGTATTTGAAATTCCTAAATAAATGATAAATAATTCAAAAAAAAAATGTACCAAAATATACATTACATCAATCAGATAAACGCAATTTTTTTTTAAAAAAAAAATAAATATTCCAACTTCTTTATTTGTAAATTTGGCATGCAAAAAAGTGAAAGAAAAATAATTAATCATTATATGCATAAAATAACTCACAATACTTTATTTACATCTGTGCAAATGCACAGGGTCGAATACTAGTTTCTATTTATTACAGAAACAATATAATATTAAACTAGTGGTATTAAAAAAATTATACATTAAAAGAGTTATTTTAATAAAAAAATATAAGTTTTTATATTAGAATTTTTAAATGTTTTTTAAAAAATTATATTATTTGTTATATATTCAATATGAATGTCAAACCAAAAACTATATTATATGTTATATAATTTTTAAAAAAATTATATTATTTATACTTATATAAAAACCATCACATTTACTAGAATTAGTAGGAAGAAAAGTCAACTCATAATTAATTACACACCATATTTAGAATTTAGATTTTTTGAATTATAAAATAGGGTAGCATTAAATGCCCTAAAATTATGGGCTTTGTTGAATTCATTTTTAATAAAATTTGCATCCAAGTTTACATGTGATTTTGAAATGAAAATTTGAAATTCAAAATCTCTTTTCATTTTAGTTATAAGGAAATCGGAATGCATTCAACACTTTGACCACTTTAAAAGTATCCCTTAAATGAATGAATTTATAGATAATTGTTATCTCTATTTAATCACATGAATATTTTCAATATAAAAAGAGACAGATTACAAATTAGTGAATCATATATTTCATAATTCAATATCTTAACATTAAGGAATAAATCTATATTATTATGTAAATCCGTATTTCATATTATTATAATACAAGTGTAACACCCAACCGACTGAGAAGCGCTTGGAGCTCGCCTTCCTCGCCGGTGAACGCCGAAACCTGCAATAGAACTCTCACACCGGAGGGGTTTTCCGGTGAAAAGTCTCCAAGCTCAAGTCAACCTTGAGAAGATGAATATATATGTGTAAGTATGTAAAAGTATGAGAGATTGTTTTCTAGAACTAGAGATCTCGCCCCTATTTATAGGGGCGAGTTACCTGCCCGAACGACTGCCCGAGCATGGTGAGCTGGCCATTCCCGCTGCCCGATCGTACAGTCGCGCGCCTCCACTATCTCGGTGTCAGAACACGCGTCAGGATGTGTCAGAGAATGTCAAAGGTCGTTATCGCCCTGGAGTACTCATTGTGCACCACATGTCCTCTACCCATGTGCTTGAGATTCTTTTGGAGGTTCCTAGCTTCGACCATATCTGATGGGATGCTGAGTCATTCTATCAACACCGGTCTTCGACCACACCTAGGCGACTCCCTTCTACTGTCTATCGACCGGATCTTTGGTATGTGGGGGTTTGTTGAGTCCCTTTTGATCTACTCATCCTCGACCTCAGGGCCTTGGTAACCAAGCGTTTATCCTCTTTGATCCGGTCCACCCGATTCGCCCTCTCGCCCCAACGGACCGGTCGGGTGTACATATATAAGATAATATCCCATATCATATTATATCATTAAGAATATATTATAGTCATATTATCAAATCATAAAAAGATATTAAATCCATATTGTAAAAAAAAAAAAAAAAATCATATAATTTTATAAAAATTCTACTACACTATTTAACAGTATTCCCTTTTATTATGTAATAAAATAATAATTAAATATTATATGGTGAACAAGAATAAGTAAAACTGTTACTTTCTCTTAGATCAATGGATGAATTTATATGCTAAAATTAATTTTTTATTAGTATAAATATTTTAGTGAGATAATATAATAATTATTTTTACAAGCTAGCTCTAATATGCTCATATTTAATGTTCTGACTAAAAAAAGAACGTTGGTTTTAAAAGATGGTGCCTTTTTCTTTTATTTTCCTTATCCGAGAAACAGAGAAAGGCGGTGAGGCTTCTTCCACCCTCTTCTTCTTCGATTTTCTTCAAATTCCTTTATCTAATTATACCAAAAAAAAGCACACAAATTCAATATGCACACATATCAGATGTTGATACAATTTCGTTTTGTATCAACATTAATGTTGATTAAAAGAGGTAGAAAATAGATAATAACCTTATTACTCTTTTGACTTAAACGGACAAGGCTGTGAAAATAACTCATTTAATATCTCTGTCCCGTGCATCGCACGAATACGTACTAGTTTGTTATATATTCAAACCAAACGTATAAAAGACTGTTATTTTTTTTGTTTACCAAATGAACTTTGTGGTTGGCTCAAGAAAAAACTCTTTTACGGGCCCGATTCACCGGCCTATCTCCTTAGACCATCTCCAACCGAAAAACCCATACTCAAATCCATTTTGCAGTAATTGTCTCATTTTGCAGTAATTCATCTCCAACAGAAAAACTCATTCTCAAACCCAAAAGAATATTCTCAAAATATTCTCTTTTACACCAACTTTTATAACTTTTCAATACTACCCACATATTTTACAAATTTACAAATTAAACCACACAATTATTTTAAATTCAATTTGGACTTTATGTAATTAAAATTAACTATACATAATAAAATCGGAGAAATAAGTATTCATTAAAAATTAAAATTTCAGCACACAAATAAAATAAAAAATTGCAATTCACTAGATGAAAAATTTAAAATTACAACACACAAGATAAAAAAAAATACAACGCATAAGATAAAATTAAAAATTACAACGCACAAGATAAAAATTTAAAAATTACAACACATGAGATAAAATAAAAAATTACAACAATAACGTAAAAATAGATAGTCTTTTAAGTCTCGGAGTTGGTGAATTCTTCCCACAAATGATCAATTAGTGCATTCCGAAGTGCTATATGCTCATCTCTATTCCTAATTTTTTTGTACCGAGATATAAATTCTTGAAATTGAGTACTTTCATCTACTGCCAGTTCGACCTCCGGCAGCGGCGTTACCATTTCAGTTTCTATTGGTGCACTTAGGGCACGTTCATCCTCGACAATCATGTTATGCAAAATTATACATGTGGTTATAATATCATGTAGCACTTCTTTTCGCCAATAACGTATTGGTCCTGCTACAATGCCAAAACGTGATTGAAGAACTCCAAACTCACGTTCAACGACTTTTCTGCATGCTTCTTGTTTCATTGCAAAATATTTTTTCTTAGGACCACATGGCTCATGAATTGTTTGCACAATGGTAGACCATTTAAGATATATGTTATCAGCTAAAATAATAACTCATGTTGTATTCTTTTCCTTGAATTACATAATGAGCTGGAGGAGCAATACCTTGGGTTAGATCCGAGAAAAGATGAGATGATTCTAGAATGTTGATGTCGTTGTTGGAGCCCGGCAAACCAAAATAAGCATGCCATATCCATAGATCATAATTTGCTATAGCTTCAAGAATAATTGTAGGTTTTCCACTACGACCAGCACATTGGTCAGCCCACGCTGTAGGGCAATTTTTACACCTCCAATGCATGCAATCTAAACTCCCCAACATTCCTGGAAAACCACGTTGCTGGCCAATGTATAGAAGTCTGGAAATATCATCAGATGTGGGCCTCCGCAGATATCGCTCGCCAAATACCTCAACTATCGATCTACAAAATTTTTTCATACTTTCAATTGCAGTGGACTCACCAATTTTAACATACTCGTCTGTAGCATCTGCTGGAACACCGTATGCCAACATACGAAAGACAACAGTTATTTTTTGTATTGGAGATAATCCAAATCTGCCAGCTCGATCCACTCGCTGTTGAAAGTAATGATCATGATCTTTGACTGCGTCGACAATTCGAAAGAACAACGAGCGAGACATTCTGTATCTTCTACGGAGCATGGTCTCGTTATACAATGGATTTTCTGAGAAATAATCATTGTACAACCTACGATCAGCAGCCTCTCGATCACGATTGATAAAAATATGCCCAGGAATAGAACCTCCATGGGAGGCTTCTTGGTTTTGTTGATTGATAAGATGTTGAATGATGATGTTGTTATTAGCAATAGCTTGGGCAATCACTGCTTGTTTTTACGAAGAGCATTCATAATTAGCATATGATCATCTTCATAATCAGATGAAGAAGATGATGAATTGCCAAAATTAAAATTCATTGTAGAAATGTGGGATAGAGAAATATGATAAGATGTTTGAAGAGATTCAAGTGTGTAAAGGATTTATTATATGTTATATTCTTATAGTAGTGAATTTGAAAGGTGTGAATAAGCGTGATCAACTTTGTAGAGAGTTGTCTTTTTCTGGTGAAAGCATTAAGAGAGGTGGGAGACATTGCAGTGATATGTCATTTTCGGGTCAGAACATGGATAAGTGTGATCAACTTTGCAGAGAGAAGTCATTGTCTGGTCAAAGCATTGAGAGAGGTGGGGACAATGCAGTGATATGTCATTTTCGGGTCAGAACATGGATAAGCGTGATCAACTTTGCAGAGAGAAGTCATTTTCTGGTCAAAGCATTGAGAGAGGTGGGGGACATTGCAGTGATATGTCATTTTCGGGTCAGAACATGGATAAGCGTGATCAATTTTGCAGAGAGAAGTCATTTTCTGGTCAAAGCATTGAGAGAGGTGGGGGACATTGCAGTGATATGTCATTTTTGGGTCAGAATATGGATAAGCGTGATCAACTTTGCAGAGAGTCGTATTTTTTGGTGAAAGCATTAAGAGAGATGGGGGACATTGCAGTGATATGTCATTTTCGGGTCAGAACATGGATAAGCGTGATCAACTTTGCAGAGAGAAGTCATTTTCTGGTCAAAGCATTGAGAGAGGTGGGGGACATTGCAGTGATATGTCATTTTCGGGTAAGAACATGGATAAGCGTGATCAACTTTGCAGAGAGTTGTCTTTTTCTGGTCAAAGCATTAAGAGAGGTGGGGGACATTGCGGTGATATGTCATTTTTGGGTCAGAACATGGATAAGCATGATCAACTTTGTAGAGAGTTATCTTTTTCTGGTCAAAGCATTAAGAGAGGTGGGGGACATTGCATTGATATGTCATTTTTGGGTTAGAACATGGATAAGCGTGATCAACTTTGCAGAGAGTTATCTTTTTATGGTCAAAGCATTAAGAGAGGTGGGGGACATTGCATTGATATGTCATTTTCGGGTCAGAACATGGATAAGCGTGATCAACTTTGCAGAGAGTTGTCTTTTTATGGTCAAAGCATTAAGAGTGGTGGGGGACATTGCAGTGATATGTCATTTTCGGGTCAGAACATGGATAAGCGTGATCAACATTGCAGAGAGTGATCATTTTTTGGTCAAAGCATTTAGAGATGTGAGGGCTTTTGCAGAGAGTGGTCATTTCGGAATAAACCATGGAAAGGGGAGAGGGTCTTTCACTATAAAAGAAGCTATGATATTGTATTGACAACACCCTCATATTTATATTCTATACACTAAAGCTTTATCAAAACCAACTTCTTGTAAGAATGTCGATCCGTTCATCTTCCTACAACCATGATGAAGATGTTCTTTTATGTCAAGTTTATATGGATATTTCTCAGGACCCAATAATTTGGGTATACCAATCATATGATCGATTTTGGTCCCATGTAGAAAATGCTTTCAATGAAAGACGGCTTGAGCATTGGGAGGTTCGTAGCAAAAGATCTATGCAAGCACGGATTCAAACAATTGAAAAGGCAGCCAAGAGACTCCATGCATGCATAAAAGCTGTAGAAGATATGCATCAGAATGGTGCATCAAATGAAGATACAGTGAGTACTCAAATCTTATTGTATTTTTTATTTATTAAATTTGTTATTTATATTAGCTATGATTAATTGTTTATGAAAAATTGTAGATGGTCAAAGCAAAAGTTTCGTTCAAGGAAGATTCCAAATTCAAATCCGGATGGAAATATGATCATGTTTTGGATATTATCAAAAACTTTGAAAATTTAAAGATGGAGCTTCGAGGTGCAAGAAAAAACAATCTGGTTGTTATCCATCTTCGGAGTCAGAAAATCCAACTCCCGAGTCTGTCCGACAAGAATCTGCAGGTATTTCTTCATTTTCTATAAATTTAAGCAACTCGAATCAATTTCCTACTGGTTCTCCATCTGAAAGACCTATCGGGGTCAAGAAAGCCAAACTAAAAAGAAAGGTAAATGATGATTCATCATCGCTCATCAACGCGATGAAGGAAGCAAACAAAAGGCTTGTTGATGAGATGAAAAATGCAAACGACCGAATAAAACACCAAATGGAGATGCGCAATAGATCCCACGCTTTTAAAATAAATGAGGGAAGAAAATAAAATTCTGTTTCAAAATGTTAGTTCCATTGAAGATCCTAGAGTTCGAGCGTACATTGAAGCTGAAAAAGCACGAATCTTGGAGAAAAGAGCTCAACAAGCCCAACCGGATCTATATCCAACCAATGCATTTGGCCAATTTTTCAATGATCTTGGAGGAGGCAGTGGCAACTTACCATATTACTAAGTATTCGTGCTTGTTTTTAGTTGTTGGGTTTATGAT